TCCTTTGCCTTTAGCTAAAGATGATATTTAAAGTGGTGGCTTCAGCCATTTTGGCCAGTTGCTCAGCCTGCCTGAGCCTCTCCCATGTGTACATGTTATAAAGCTTTGTTTAATTTTCTCCTGTTATTCTGTCTCATGTGAATTTAATTCATTCTCTGGCCAGAAGAACCCAGAGCGGGTAGAGGAAATGTCTTACTCCCCTACAATACAATACTGAGAAGATGAGGAAGGGTTTCATAGTAGGAACTGTTTGGGTTCTGACTTATTTGGGATGAAGTTCCAGGTATCCCTAAATCTTTCAGGGAGCTTAAAACCCCTAAAGACAAAGCCCAGAATAGAACCCTTTTCTAATAAGGGTCTCCCCACCCCAGAAAAAGCTCTCCCTGGAATACTGGAAGATCTGACCAGCTTCCTCGAACCCAGTTTGTATTGATCCATAGTTAATACAATTTAGGAAGCACCAGGAGGAGATCACTGGTGCTCACTCGACCCAAGTAGATGGGTAAGCAAACATAAGGGAGGGGGCAGGCAGTCACCCTTGGTCCAGGCCTATGGTGAACAGCCCTACTGGAGTCTACGAAAGGCCACTCTGAGGCTCTGGGGCCAAGCAGGTGGCCAGAGAGACTGACTAATTTGAGGCCCATGAGTGAGCCTCCCACTCTGCTCCTCAGGAAAATCCTGCCTTCATTCCTCTCTGCCCTTTCCCTGGGGGACAGAAAATGCCCAAGGCCTGCGCCCAGCAGGAGGCCATTCAAAGTTCCCACACCCTCTCCACTCTGCATCTGCAGCCCCGATTCCCCGTACTCTGCACTTTAGTCTCAGAGGCCAATTCTTCCCTCTCTGCTCTTTAAAACACAGTCTTTTTCTCAGTGCAAAAGCGACATATTAATGTTCTATGAACTCCAGATAATAAGGAAATGTAAAGAATAGTGATCTCCCATAATTTAACCCTCCCCTCTCCCCAAGATAACCTAAAGTTAATGGTTTAAATAGACTTCCAGAACTTTTCTTCTCCGTATCTGTATATATCTAATTAATAGAATACAGATATGAATATATATTTTCTATTGTAAAAATGCCATTTGACAATAGACACTGTTCTCAAGATGCGTTTTCATTTAATACAGTAGGTTTTCAATAAATATCTATTGTATGGATGAGCCATTATTTATTCAACTTCACCGGAGAACTTTTGAGTTGTGTCCATACACCCTTCCAATAAGCATAACTATACAGAGAGAAGATGTAAATGAAATACACACAACGCATATGGAAACGTACAGCATTCCTGCATATAATGAGTATGTCCTGAAATGTACTAACTAAACCACACATATTGGTGAATTGTCAGGTGGCCTCTGGTGTATTTCATGGATATCCCTGGATATATGCTGATAAATTACCCTCAAAAAGAAAACTCCAGGGGCCAGCCTGTGGCCGAGTGATTAAGTTCGTGTGCTCTGCTTCAGTGGCCCAGGGTTTCGCTGGTTCAGATCCTGGGCACAGACATGGCACCGCTCATCAGGCCGTGCTGAGGCGGTGTCCCACATGCCACAACTAGAAGGACCTGCAACTAGAATATACAGCTATGTACTGGGGGGCTTTGGGGAGAAGAAGAAGAAGAAGAAAAAAGAAAGATTGGCAACAGATGTTAGCTCAGGTGCCAATCTTTAAAAGAAAAAAAGAAAACTTGAGCCAAGTGTTTTAGGACCTGTGGGACTAAAGAGTGGCTATCCTGCGTGTGTTCCTAAAGTTTTTTATTGGCCTTAAGTCCTTGGCGGGGTACTTGACTGAGATAAGAACCAGAATCCAGTAGCGGTAACAAAGCGCAACATTTAATTTTAAATAGAACAAAAAAATAATCTACTTCAAATTCTTTTTAGAATAGGAAGGAAAGAAAGATTGGGGAGAGAGGAAAGAAAGAAAAAAGAGAAAAGAGAAGAATAAAAATGCTTTCTCCTGATGGTTGTTTGGACTATTCTTGACTCATTCTACAGTGTAATAATTGTAGGTCTTTTAAAGGACATCATAATATAACAGATTTCCGTTCCTTACTTATTCCTGAGGCAGAACACGCAATGCACAAGGCGAGGCTGGCCCCTCCTGAATCAGTCCGAGGAAGCCTAAAATACCCCCCGCCCGTGAGAATGTGCACAGCCCCCAGGCATTGCTGTGTTTGCTCAAGTCCACCAAGGAGTGCCCGTAGCCAGTAAGGGATGGTGGTGGCGTGGATGCCGCGAAGATTGATGGCAGTGGCCCAGGACAGCCAGGGGCAGCATCTCGGTCCTCGCTGGGGCCTGAGGACAGTCACACCAGTCCCTAGACGAGACAGTGACTCATGGTGGCTGCACCAGGGACAGGAAACCCAAGTCTTTGGTCCCCACGGTGCCAGGGGAAAAGGAAAGGGGCTTTTGTCGCTTTCCCTTCTTTACCAAAAAAAGTGCTTAAATGTAAGCCTCCAGCTCTGTGAATGCAGACCGGGGCCTGGTGGACTGGGGAGAACAATTAGGCCAGACACTGAGTGCATAAAGCCAAAAGTGGGTAGAAACTCAGACAATGGTGCCCAAGGCTAGGGTGGGGTGGAGGGGGGGAGCGGATATGATAGCCAGGAAGGAGTTTCAATGTGAATGAATACTAATTAGTGACATGGATATTAATGATGACAGTAATTAACAGGGGAAAGGAAGGGCTGTCATTGTCCCAGGGTGAGTAATCAATCTTGGCAGGTGATAAATAATGGTTCAGCAAGCTCAGCAGAAAGATAATCCGCCTGCCCGGGGGAGAGCTGTTGCTGATGCCGGAAACCTCGCTGTTTCTAGGCAACCTACAAAAAAGGACTATTTTTCTTTTGAGGGAAAAACAGGTTAGAGTCTCTCCCCCCACCCTCAATTTGGGATTACAGTTCTTATTTGATTTCTGCTTTGTTCTTCATTTCCTAGGACAAATGTTGAACTTGTATAATTTGAAGGAAATGGACACACACACACAAACACACACAGACATACCCTTCCTTTCTCTCAAAGAATATGAATGAATAAGAGTGTTTTTGATCCAAAGTTTAGCTCTTAGATGCCATCCGGGAGCGAGAGTAGGGAAAAGCTTAGAAGTCTTGCTTTTGAGGTTGAAATGCAGGGGACTTGCAGGGCCAAGTCAGTGAAGGCCGGTCCTTGGGGGAGCATGGAGAGAGTAGGATGGGGCATCAGCTGTGCAGGGTTCATTCACCTTCCAGAAAGCCAGAGAGAAGAAAATATCTAGGCACTCAGGCCTGTACTGGTCTCACTTCTGGCCACCAAGCAAATTTCTGAGGAAATTTACTTGTGGGAAAAGAGGAACATTCGTTAACCCCCTCTGCGGACTCTCCAATCTGTTCACTGGGAATCTATCCCAAAAGAGCTTCTGACAGACTCTCGCCCTCACACCACGCCTCAGACCCATGACAAGACTCAGATACCTAGAAATGTTGCCCTTCTCGGGCTGTTTGCCACCAAACATTCCATCCGGAGGTAACAAAGCTGCCTTTGAGGGTCTGCACTGGTTTAAAGTGAGATTTTTGGGTGACAGAGGTAGATTGACCAGAAGTTCAGGACCTTCTGGAAAATTGGACTTCTCTGCTCCCATGTGGACTGTGCTGCCCTGAAAACGTTGGTTCTAGGTGCCACACTGTGAAAGGGAGGCAAACGAAAAAGAACATGTTCAGAGAATTGTCACCAAAATGGTGAGGGACTCCAGGTCATGTCACGAGAGGAAATAGCTGAGGGATCCAAGCGTGTTTCACCTGGAGTGGTGACAACTCAAGGAGGACATTGATAATATATGAGACTGCCCAGATATTTGAAGGACTGTCTCACAGAGTGAGTGGTCTAGGTTTGTTTTTCAATCATCAGAGGGCAAAACTAAGACCAACAAGAGGAAGCTGGAGAAGAGCAAATTTCTGTTCAGAGAAATCGAAGATGATTCAACCAGGACAGGCTGGCTGTGGGGGAGTTTGTGAGCTCCCAGGTACTAGAGTTTTTCTAAGTGGAGATTACAGCACCTCTTGTCCGGGGTGTCATGGATGGGGCTCGTGTGTTGACTAGGGTTGAAGTAGATAAGCTTTAAAAGCCCCTTCTGACTCTTAAGATTTTATATTATTTAAAGTAATACTAGATGCCAAAATAGATAATGCTCATATTTCTGGGGCTTAACATGACAGTTTATTTTTCAATCAGTTCAGAGCCCAAAATAGGCATGAATTTTCCTGGTAGTTTGGGAGCCCAGGCTCTTTCCACATTGTGGCTCTGCCCTCCCCTAGGCCCTTGGAGTCCTCTCCATTTAGCCAGCAGATGAAGAATGACAAGACGTCAAGGTATGGAGGGTCACATGGGAATTTCTATGGTCGGGGTCTGGAAGTGGCATATATCATTTCCACCCACATTCCTTTGTCAGAACTCAGTCCACACCCAACTGCAGGAGAGTCTGGAAATGTAATCTAGCTGTAGCCCAGGGCATGAAGGAAAGAGGTTTTGGTGAACACACAGAACTTTCTCCCATAGACACAGGGGTACTTTCATTCAGGATAGACCCAGGCCAGAAAATATTAGAGATTCTTTTTCAGGAACCTGTGAGGTCAACTGTGGTGGTCAGGCCTTGTCAGTAAGGACAGGGAGCTGAGGAGGCCTTGTCCCTCATGAAATGGTCCAGGGGCCAGGATGATAAAACTCCACCTAGCCTGTCATCAAAATCCGTATTCTCAGTAAGTCCCCTCCAGATGCTCCTTAGAAATGTGGACACAAGATCATCTTAAGTCATCAGAAGTGGATGTTTTCTGGAAAAGAGAAGGAGTATGACTATGGAAGCATACCAATGGATGGGAAGGGTTAGTTAGGATGGAAAATCATCAATAGTATCCAGCTCTCCAGGTGCGTGTTAATTGAAATTAGGAGTCTCTGGTGAACATGTTTCTTCTGCCACAGGGTTAAACACCAATGAGATCTTCAGTTGAAATTGCTTTATCATTGCAGGTACTGACATTGTGCAGTGGCTTATGAAGAACCTTTCCATCGAGGACCCAGGTACTTGAGCCTTGACCCTGACTTTATCCCCCAGGGTTTTATTAAACAACCATAACCAAGTTCCAAACTAGATTATCTTACCCTCCAGAGAACTGGGCTTACACATGTGAATTCCGAGATGTGGAATCACTCTATTTACAAATAAAACTAATTTATTTTCTCCACTGAATATCTATCTTTAAATTTAAATCACCTTTTGAGGAAAGGAGGACCTATTAGAATGCCAAAGAGGCGAATACCATAACCTGTGAAATGAGATGAATTCTCGTTAGCCACAGCAATTAAAGATAAGTTGTAGCCCTGAACAGTCTTCCACAGCCAGCTCTCAACATTAGATTGCCTGGTCCACGATTAAGATGTTTAATTATTTGCTAAGATTCCTTCTGTTTTTCTGCTTCTGCAAGAAGTGAAGGAATGATTTTTTTTTTCAACTTGAATTGTGCATTTCAATTAGGAAAACCTTACCAGAAAAGCAACAACAAAACCCTGGCCAATAAAACAGTCTCCAAATCTGTCCTCCCACCAGAAAATAAATAGTAAAATTTGTTTTCATAGCGTAATTAGAAAATAGCTCCAGAAAAATGAAAATTCTAGATAAGTAAAGTTTATTATTCTTGGGTTGTTAGTGAATATTTTTCTGAATTTGTTATATACTTCCTGTCTTAACTGAGTATTCTTGATGCCTAAAGGTCATGTTTATAAATATCTGTTAATGTATTTGAATGTTCTTGGGGATTAGACCTATTTGCCTCTAGTTAAATGGCCTCCAATTGCTATGGTTTTTAAATATTTTTTCCAAGGGCCCTTTCTAGGTGTCTGACCTTCAGTGGAGTCCTTCCTGGGCTTGGTATATCAGCTCAGGCATTCTGGTATTTTATCTAATGCCCCTGATATACTATTGACCATGAAAAAATGCAATTTACATAGAGTTCAATTAAATATAGTTGCCAGAAATCTGAGTGCCGGAAAAGCAGGTCATTAACGGAAGTGACACTAGCCTTTTTTACCATCATGTCAATGGCCACTCTCATGACTAGTGAAAATTCTTAATTCTAGTCAAGTTGTCAATCCACAGGGGAAAACTCTCAGTGCTAAACCCTTTAAGGAAAGAACCCAAATCAACTACCCTACGTGTTTCCCATATGCAGGCTGGGCTTCTGATTGTCCCCTGGTAGACGCTAGGCTGAATAAGTCTCTGCTAGTTTAGTTACATTTATTTGGCGTTAATGTTTCTTCCGATTATGATGATAACTAAGGAACACCTTTCTGGATGGTGGTCTTTTCCCTTCCAAGAGCCCTGTTTTCTTCACCCTTCTGAAATAACCATTGTATTTCTGATGTCTATTTTGTTTTTATCGTTAGTAGCAGCAATAGTATTGTGAGAACCCTGATCCAGCTAATGGTGGAGAATAGGCTCAGGAATCCTCTGACCCTGGTACGAGAAGCTTCTGTGAGAGGTCCCGAATGATAAGGGTCATGTCTGTGAAGCTGTGTTATGCTCTGATGCCATTGGGAGAAAACTGAGGTGCTGGGACCTGCTCGGGCTTCTCAGAAGTCATTGAGCAGGAGGCATTAAGAACAATTCACCAGCTGGGAATAAGAGGCAGAAATGAGGCAAACCAAGGCCCTGGGAAGCCAGGCCTGTCCAACATCTGCCCCTCCCTCCCTTGTTTCTTCCCAGCTGCCACATTTCTAAGCAGGAGCCTTTTTAAGAACAAAGTGGAAGAGTTGGGTCTTTAAAGGTGAGTAAGAGGTTGCCAGATAGAGAGAGGGAAAGACGAGAGAAGAGGGAAAAGCCTTCCATGCAGCAAACACGTACACAGAGGAGAGTTGCTGAAAGGGGTTTGGTAGCCTCACATGCCTAAGTGAGGGAGCAAGAGGTTGATGCGATAAGCAGAGACTTGACCTTATAGAACCGAACATGCCTCCCTAAGGAGTCCAACCTTTCTGCTGAGGTCACCAAAGAATCAATGCAGGGAGTTTAGGCAGGAAGGTAACATGGTCACATTTGTAAAAGATCGCCCTGATGGAGGATGGTTGAGAGTGAAGCCAAGTGAGGAGGAAGAAGAGAGTTGTCAGGAGCCTTTTTAAGAACAAAGTGGAAGAGTTCTAGCTCCAAGGTTGGTGACATGCAAGTTGCCTTCTTCCTGGATTTTGTTTTTCCTTCCCTGGGAAAGGAGCAGTTGCAGGTGATGAAACCTCTTTTTTTCTGGACCCATGATTCTTGAGGCATAGAAACTTTAGAAAGCAAACCGGTCATCACTAAGCAAGTGAAATATGGCTCCATTCACTCCGATCCACCAGTTACAAGTGTTCGTCTCTACTGAAGAAGGCTAGGTGGTTCTAAATAAGCAAAACGTCCGGATGATATACAACCTCTTGAAAACTTTGCAAGTAAAGCCAGAACAAGTTGCTTTAAAAAATTCAGAGCTTATGAAATCAGTAATTCCTAGAGATTCCCTGAGCATGTCAATAATTTCCACGTCCAAAAATTAGTTTTTACCAATAAGAGTACTTTTCTATTTGTGAAAGATTATCATGCGTGGTAGAACCATTTAGATTTGTTATTTTTCCTTACCTCTGCTCAGAATAAATATAAATTCTTAACTATTGATGTGAATCTGTTTATAGCTGGTGCCAAGTAAAACAACAGATTGGTTGCGGCAAAAATATAAATATTTCTATCAGGTTGGCCTCCCTGTGCCACTGCCCCTGCATTGCCCTTCCTCCAATTTTCTGAGGAAGTGAGGTTTCATTCTATGTGACTAAGAGAAGTGAAATGCCCTCCTCACTGGTGGCACTGTCCCATCAGGGAGTGCATTGTGGGTCCAAAGTCTCTACGGGCGGTGAGGCTGTGTGCTCATAGCTGGGGACGATGAGAAATGGTGGAACTAGAAGTCTGCATCAGGGCTGCCAGCACCTCTTGGGCACGTCCCCTGCCCCAGACACTGCTAAGCCCTTTATAGGAATATCTCACTCCATTAGCGACAGTTTTATCTACACCAAAGTTCATGCTCTTAACCGTGAAGCCAGACTTTCTTCTGGAAGTCTTGAGGGGGTGGGGTTAAGCAATGTCAGTTTCTCAGAGCTGGGATCCAGAGGAGTCCCAGACGTGTGGCGGCCCTTCCCAACCGTTGACGTCTCCCCCGAGCCCAGTGCGGTCATATCACAGTTATCCATCAGTCAGCCAATCATGCACTTATCTGGGGTGATGCCCGCTGTCTTCCCGTTGCCTGTCTGCTCTCTCTGCTTACACTGCAGCTGAGTAGCCCTGCATTCTGCAGCCTCCTGATCACTTCTCTCTTGTGCCCTGTCCTGCAGTTGAAGCAATACACGTGGGGAGCCTTATCGCTGCCCAGGGCTACGTCTTTCCCATCTCAGACCACGTTCTCACCGTGAAGGATGATGGCACCTTTTATCGTTTTCAGGTAGGCCTGCGGCTCCCCCTCCTCCAGAACCATTTCTTCTCATCATCATCTGAGCTCAGATTAGAACTACCTAAAACAACGGAGGGTGTTTAAGGGAGCAGCCTTCCTCTGGGTTATTTGTTGCTCCACCCACATGATGGTAAAAAGCCCTCATGAAGAACCTACTATTTGCGGGCCCTTTACACATATTTACTCATTTGTTCTGAAGAACAAAATTTAGGGGATAAATATCACCCATTTGACAGATGAGAAAACTGAGGTGCTCAGAGAATTAATGTGGCTCTTAGTAAATCTAGGAGGCAGTGCTGGTTTGAACCTGGGTCAGCCTGATAGCAAAGTCCTTGATCCTTCTTCTGGATCCTAGTGTGAAGTGTCTGTTCACTGCCTACTCACCCTTCCCACCCATTTCCACCCCTTGTCTCAGATTCTGTCCTAGCGGGAATTGGGGCAGAGGATCAGGGGTTGTGTCCAGGTCAAAACCAAAGGCTTTGGGAGGGGAGTTCTTCAGACGGGGTTGAAGGCTGTCTTAGTTGGCTCCAGCTGCCAGAACAGAATACCATAGTGGGGGACTTAAACAACCTTAAACAAGGGAAGTTTATCTCTCTCAGCTCTGGAGGCTGGAAGTCCAAGATCAAGGCGCCAGCAGGGTTCAGTTTGTGGGGAGAGCCCTCATGCTGCCTTCCAGACAGGTGCTCTTCACTGTGTCCTCACACGGTGGAGAAAGAGAGAGAGAGAGAGAGAGAGAGAGAGCGCTCTGGTGTTCCTATTATAAGGACACTGTCCTATCGGATCAGAGCCCCACCTTTATGACTTCATTTAACCTTAACTACTTTCTTACTCCAAATCCTGCCACACTGGGGGTTGGGGCTTCAACCTATGAATTTTAGGGGGACACACTTCAGTCCATAACAAAGGGATAAAGGAACTGGGGGCTTATAAACCATGCCGATCTGACTAATGTATTTGACTTCTCTTGTCTCGGGATAGGAATTTTTCACCCTACAAACTGCGTTCTCATTTTTGCCTTTATCTTGCTTACCTTGGGTTTTGTCTCTCAACACTAGATTAAAATGTCAACTGGGCCCAGCTGCATTAAGAACAGGAGAGAGTTGGGTGTGGTGCCAGCATGAAGGGGGTGGGGTGGAGCCTGCCATAGGGAGGGGTCCTCACTGAGGGCAGGGGAGGGCAAGTGCTGGCGTCTTGAGTCCTGACACCTGTGCTCTTTTGCAGGCCCCGTACTTCTGGCCTTCGAACTGCTGGGAGCCTGAAAACACCGACTATGGTGAGCAGTGAAGCCACGGCCCACACTGGGTGTTACTCCTGAGAGTGCGGAAGACAAATGCTTCATGGCTGGGTGACTGCTGTGCATGAGGAGGAGGGATTTTTACCCTGTTTAGTCCTTTCTCATATTGTTGGCATGTAATAAACTCCCTGCTCCACATACTGTAGAAAGGCAGAGCACACTGCAAGATGCAGACATTGGAAGGAAATGGGGTAAGGGAAGAAAATTCTATCAAGGGTGGCCAATATGCTCATTCTGTGGGGCCATGGAGAACTAGGATTCCACAGCAACACTCCAGGACAGTGGCTGTTGACTGTTCGTTCCTGGGGCAGGGTTTCAGGGAGGGCTGGATCAAGGGGCCACCTTCCCCTGTCCTTTCTATTCTCATAGACTTATTAAAACTTATTAATTACTCATTGGTGTTTTTGATATTGGAAGTTAGGGAAAAGGGAGACAGACCAGGGAGGGAGATATACAGAAGTTATCCTGGACTAGGAAAATAAAAAGACGGTGAATTTGGCAGCTGGGTAAGCAGGGAGTGACCTCTATCCAGGCACGGATCTGTTAGACTCTTGCCATATACTCTCTGTGGAGACTGTTTAATATTTCTGTATGCCAACCCCCTAGAGGAGCTATATTGTGCCTATACTTCAGATGAGACCCAGAGAGCCCACATCCTCACACTTATCACACTGTCTCCTATGTGTCTGGATGCCCAGTCTATTGTAAGCTCCATGAGGGCAGGGCCTGGTCCACTTTGTTCATTCTCATATCCCTCAGTGCATAGTGCATTTCCGAGGCACAGTTGGTGTCCAGTAAATATTTGCTGACAGTTCTGGTTCTTCGTTAAAGGTGATTAGCAGATGCTCAGTAGAGGCAGCAGAATTTGAACTCAGATCTGAGTGTCTTCAAGACCCGTGCCCTTTTTAGGGTCCTATGCATGGTATCATCACAGCGGCCCATGCCCCATTGCACAGTGTCCTCGTCACTGACTTAGCTGCTGGGGTGGTCCACACAGCTCTCCTTGGGCCTTGAGTACTCGGTGAGACACGCAGCTTCTCCCTGGGCTCTTTGCAGGATTGTTTGCCCAGGAAGGCGGAGGTAGCTGCAGTGGAGGGAGGAAGGTGATGGGCGGGGCAGGGGGAGGGGGCGGTGTTCTGAGCATCCTGTCCCAGAGAGCTGTGTAATAAGCTACACCCTCTGGATCACGTGTTTGGGGGGGGGGGGGGGGGTGAAAACCTGCAACTGGGAGCAGTCCTGAGGATGGAATGCAGACAAGTCACTGCCTAATAAGGCTCCTGTTGGTCTGTTTCCCCGTCTGGAGGGCAGGGCCCTCTGTCTCATCAGCTGTTTGCAGGCACCACTGTAGGTCCCCCTGGAATGGTGCTGTGCCCTAGGTGATGTGATAAGTGGATCCAGTGAGGCTTCCGGCTCAGAACAGGAGCTGTGCTTGGCTGTTCATAAAACAAGCGCTCCCGGGGCTGAAATACTGCTTGTGAAAATCCAACTCGGAATTTGAATAATTGTAGCTCAGTTCCATGCAGCAGCCGTGTGCCCTTGTGAATGTAAAAACCAGTATTTTTCCAGGCAGTGGAGCGGGTGGGAGGAAGATGGGACCAGATAACTGGGCCCAAGTAAGTTTAAAATATTACTTGAATATAAACCCATAAAGCTTAGGCTATCTTACACTGCATGCAACAGGGCGTTATTTCCTTGTCTCTACAAGTTTTCTCCATTTCACAATTTTAGTTGTGCAGCATGAACAGGGATAGAAATAATTTCTATCGGGCTCTCATTAAAGCAAAATTATTTTGAATTCCTCTGCCTCCATTTTGGCAAATCAGGTGGAGAGGTCAAGATGCGGGATGCAGAAGTACTCATCAGCATTTCCAAAGCAATTTAATCAGGAAATCAGGAAGGGTTTACCAAGAAAAAATTCAGCACAGTGGCCCCAGGACTGACTAGCTCCACCAGCTGTGTGATCTTGGCAAGTTACTTAACCTTTCTGTGCCTGAGGAACCTCATATTAAAAGCAGGATAATAATAGTACTTTTATCTCCTATTGTTGTTTTGTTAGGATTAAATGAAATGCATGTAAGGTTTGGTGTGTGGCACCTAGTAGGGAGTCAATAAAAAGCATGATGGTGGTTGGTATCATCGTCCCTGTGGTGCTGGTCAGTATTATTACTGCTAGGGTGCTTGGTATTATTAGTACTGTGATGGCCCTCCTCCCAAAAAGGATGTAAAACTGAAGGTAAGAATTCAGAATAGGTATGACTTGGATTGAGGAAGAACCAGAAACTTGCATTCATTCAACAAACCTTTACTGCTCGCCTACTCTGTGTCAATTCCTATGTCACAGATTTGAATAAGTCACAGTCTTGCCCTCCAAGCATGCCAGGCTGGGGGAGGCAGTGTGATAGGGGGAAGAAGGACTGGTGAGGAGTCTGACCTGCGTAGTCAAAGGTTTTCAGTTGATGAAGAATGATTGAGAAGGTTGAATAGTTTGGGAGAGGCAGGTTTATCAAAAGGCCTTGGGAGTTGAGGAGAGGTGTTTTAGAGTCTGCAGTTTCAGGGAGCCACTGAGGGTCCTCACTGGCGGGAAATGACCCGGAAAAGTTTCCTCATCTATCAAATGAGGATAATAACAGAACCCCCCCTCATAGGGTTACTGCAAGGCCTGCGTAAGTGAACATCGGGAAAGTACCTAGAATGATGCGTGACAGTCAGTGAGCTCCGTGAAGTGGTAGCTGCTATTATGGTCATTCTCCGGCTCCTAAGACAGTGCTTGGCACCTAGGAGGCACTCAGTACCTTTTTAAATGGGTAAATGAATGACTAATGAATGAGTAAATGGAGAAACGAATGTCATCGTGGAAAGAGCTCTGAACTAGACCTCAGCTCTAATTCCACCTCCAGCACTAACGGGCCCGTGGGTGAATCCCTGCACCTCTCCTGGCTTTCCGTTTTCCTAACTGTCATAAGGAGTCTGAACTTGATGGTCACCAAGGTACCTTCCAAGGCTAAAATTCTGTTGTTCTAAAAAATAATTAGACAGTATGAGGAAAATAGAGAAGTGAGTGATTTATATGTTCCCTAGTTTGGCAGATTGAGGTAAATATGATGTCACTAGTAAAAACAGAAAATTTGGAAAAAGAGTCAGTTTTTCAAGTACATTGAAAAAGGGTAAGTTCAATTTTTTTAATGTTTAATTACAAAGGTAGCACATGAATCCATTCACCTTATAAATTTTTTAATGTGCTCTATTTTTGTCATGGTGAGATGTGGCGAGCTTGAGATAGCCGTGGGTCATCTAAGTGAGATGCCAGTGAGGTGGGAATGCCAGGTGTGAGGGCAAGAAGACAAAGATTTCCTTTTTTTTTTTTTGAGGAAGGCTAGCTCTGAGCTAACATATGCTGCCAATCCTCCTCTTTTTGCTGAGGAAGACTGGCTCTGAGCTAACATCTGTTCCCATCTGCCTCTACTTTATATGTGGGACACCTACCACAGCATGGCTTGCCAAGTGGTGCCATGTCCACACCCAGGGTCCAAACCAGCGAACCCCAGGCCGCCGTAGCGGAATGTGCACACTTAACTGCTGCACCACTGGGCTGGCCCCGTGGCAAAGATTTTTCAATGAGAAATTAAATATCCAAGAAAAACCAACATCTAAGCTTAAAGCAAGTTCCCCAGATGCCCTGTTATAGGACTGGCTGTCATTGCCAGAGGCCATTAGATTGGTTTGATGTTAAAGCAAGTATCGTTGAAGGCACCATGGTATGCAGAGAAGCCCAGGGAAGGTCTGTGCCAAGAAGAAGTTCCATTCAGCAGCTACAGCCTACCTCCGTCGTTGTGGGGAACAGACTCCCTAGTGTGTGACGTTTGCCACAGGCGAAGTGGGGTGAAAGCGTGCGACCGTGTAACTCATGGTCGTCAGGAGTGGCACCAGCTTTTCATTCTGTGTGTAGTACTTGACTTCACAACCTAGCTCATCCATTTTGGCTCAGATGGGTTGGAAATTTCTTGGGATGATTCCCCCTGAATAAAGCCCACAGTCCAAATCTAGGATAGACTTTTCCGAGTTGTACATTTGGCCAACACAAAACCCTATCTGTGGCAGCATCGTCAAAGGGCTGGCACCTCGGCTGACTTGCACTGCTCCTGGGTCATCGAGACCCGGCCTGCTGGGGCTGGTGACACGCCAGACTTCCTGCTTCAGGTTGTCCCCAGTTCCACAAGCTGCCTAACTAATGATCCAAGAGACGCAGAACGTCCCCTGTAATAGAGCAGACACCCCTTTATCAGGCATAATGGGGAGCTGTAGCTGCTCAGTTCATTGGAAAAGCTGGTAAGGAAAGAATCATGAAAACGTGATACATACATACCTTATCACTTCATATTCATCTAAGATGCACAAAGGAACATTCGTTTGGCAGCCTTTTAAGGTAGGACCACAGATTCTCTTGGATTAGGGGTCCCAATAATTTAAGTTTCTTTCTTAAATAAACCACACTCAAAATAAACCATCCAGTTTTGGTATCTTTAAAGTGCACCAAGAATTTTAAAGCACTTTTTTTTTTTGTGACGTTTTTTTTTGGATGGGAAAGAGTCACCCTGAGCTAACATCTGTTGCCAATCTTCCTCTCTCTTTTTTTTTTTTCTCCCCTCCCCAAAGCCCCAGTACATAGTTGTATGTTCTAGTTGTAGGTTCTTCTAGGTCTTCTCTGTGAGCCACCACCACAGCATGGCAACTGACAGACGGGTGGTATGGTTCCATGCCCGGGAACCAAAACCAGGCCACCAAAGCAGAGTGAGCTGGAATTTAACCACTAGGCCATCAGGCCAGCTCTAAAAACACTTTTGAAGCAACCTATATGTTGATCACTCCTAGATTTTTATTATTTTTTCCCATTTTTTCAATTATCTCGCCTGTACCAAATTTGTCAGCAATTATCTTAGCCAACTCTCCTTTATCAAGTTGTTCCAAACCATTCAACTGGGTCTTCATAGAAGCAACTCTCTTTTTACACATTAATTTCATCAGTATATATAATATTTAGTGAACTTAACATTATTAAAATAGCAGGTATGCCTGACATAAGCAGATTTGAGGACAATCCCAACTGACTCTCGTCTACATACAACTCGACTGGTGAGAGCAGAAGTGTGGGCACACCAGAGTGGGCTGCTAGCTGCGAGGTTCCACCATGTCGTAGGCTGCCGTCAGTAAATTTTTCAGACCACACAGAAGAGGTTGGTTACTCCAGCAAGGAGCTGACTAGTTCTCCTATTATAATGAAGTTGTCAAACAACAGGTCAGCTACAGGTCCTCTCTGACCTTCCCTCCTGGGCATTCTATTGTTCGTTCATACCATTCATCTATTGTTTTCCCTGGATCGTTCTACTTGGCACTGGAGAAGGAAGGAGATACTGAAGAAGCAGAGGTAGGGAGAGGAAGGGTGAAGGCCATGTCTGAGGAAGACTGCCTGGCAACTGAGGGCAAGGACCCTTCCTTAGCTTGGGAAGAGAGACCTCAATTGTCTTCCCTTTCTGCTGTCTATTCACTGCACCTGGCAGGTCAGGCCCTGGTGCTAGGTGCAGGGGTTCAAGCTGAGTAGGACACAGCCTCTGCCTTTGAAGAGCCTTCAGCCTAGAGCAGGAGACAGTTTAGTAAACCCACAATTACAGCGCACTGGAATTAGGGTCCATGGTTAAGGATGGGTAGATGCAACACCGAGCTATCTGGAACACTGAGCTGGGTCTTTAAAGGTGAGTAAGAGGTTGCCAGATAGAGAGAGGGAAAGACGAGAGAAGAGGGAAAAGCCTTCCATGCAGCAAACACGTACACAGAGGAGAGTTGCTGAAAGGGGTTTGGTAGCCTCACATGCCTAAGTGAGGGAGCAAGAGGTTGATGCGATAAGCAGAGACTTGACCTTATAGAACCGAACATGCCTCCCTAAGGAGTCCAACCTTTCTGCTGAGGTCACCAAAGAATCAATGCAGGGAGTTTAGGCAGGAAGGTAACATGGTCACATTTGTAAAAGATCGCCCTGATGGAGGATGGTTGAGAGTGAAGCCAAGTGAGGAGGAAGAAGAGAGTTGTCAGGATTGGAAGATGCGGTCCTCATCTGATCCTCACCTGCAGAAAGATTCCGAGAGGTCAGGTGTCATGGCACCCACATAGAAACATTCTTCACAGCATAGTGCTGGATACATAGCAAGGGCTGGCTTGCTGGCTGGCTGACTGGATGGACAGATGGATGGACAGATGGATGGATGGATTTGTGATTCCACTACACTGCTGGTTTTGTATGTGTTGTAATTTCTCTTCTTCCCTCAGCCATCTATCTCTGTAAGAGGACAATGCAGAATAAAGCAAGGCTGGAATTGGCAGATTATGAAGCAGTAAGTATGGTTATTTTCCAGGATAGGCATGGGAAGAGAGTAAAAACATATCTGCAGCTCTGGTTCAGCTTGTGTTTTTCCTTTTTTCCCTCCTCAACCCCTTTCAGACAGTGGAAAGGAAGTCTCTTCTATTTCCCCTCCTTTGTTCTCAGCTCCCCTTACCATCACAATAAAATTGCCTCTTTATAGAAAGAACTCTCAAAACTCAGTGAAAACAAACAACTCAACTTAAAAATGGGCAAAGGACTTGAAAAAACACTTCACCAAAGAGGACATAAGGATGACAAATAAGCTCATGAAAAGATGTTCAACATCATTAGCCATTAGAGAAATACAGATTAAACCCATGGCAGGATAGCACTACACACCTGCTAGAATGACTAAGACAACAAGTACTGATAATGCCAAGTGGGAATGCAAAATCATACAGCACTCTGGAAAATGGTTTGGCAATTTCTTATGAAGTTAAATGTATATTTACCATATAACCAAGCATCCCACTCCTACATACATACCCTAGAGAAATCAGAAGTGATGTTCATACAAAAACTTGTTCATAGCAGCTTTATCTGTGATAACCAAAAGCTGGAAACAACCTAAGTACACTTTAACAGGTGAATGATTGAATAAATCCTGGTACATCCATACAGTGGAATACTACTCTGCAGTGAAAAGGAACAAGCTATTGTTAATACGCACAACCACTTGGATGAGTATCAGAGATATTATGTTGAGTGAAAGAAGCCTGTCTCAAAAGATTACAAACTGTGTAGTTCCACTTATATGACAGTCTGATAAATACAAAATTATCATGAGGGAAAACAGATCAGTGATTGCCAGGAGCTGTGAGTGGGGGTAGGATGCAGCTATAAAGAGATGGCACAGGGAGTTTTTTGGGAGTGATGGAAATATCCTGTATCTTAATTTTGGTGGTGGTTACATGAATTTAATCAATACAGTGTGAAAATTTGTAGAACCATACACCAAAAGGGAAAAAAGGGCAAATTTACTATGATAACTTTCTAAATTTACTATATAACAATTTTTTAAATTGCGTCTTTATGCCCAACTCCCCTGTGTGTGGCAGTAATGCAGAATCTAAGGACAAATTCAATCCAGAAAATAAGATAAGATGCGTGTCATGTGAAGTAGATACTTTCCCAGCTTGCCTCCTTCTCCACCTTCTTTCACAAGATGTGATTCCTTGGAAGAATTGCAGGCCCCTCCACACTCATATCCATTCCTATTAAACAGAGCCAAGGCACGGAGAACTTGGAGACTCACAGATAATTTTTGAAATATTTTTAATTTTTGGTTGCAGAATCTTTATCCCAAACCCAACTTTATATGGGTCACGGAGAATCTGGGAAATTGGCCAAATGTTCACGTACCCTCCAGCGGAGGTGCTGCTGAGACATGAAGTGGCTGAAGGGCCAGAAGGAGGGGCAACGTGAGAGGCAGTGCCGATCCATCCCCAGATCATCCAGCATTAACAGCGCCTTCAGATCCACCCACTTCCCACATGCCCCTCGCTCTTTTGCTGCCTCAGTTTCTAAAACAAGCGTGCGGCCCGACTCCATCAGACCTTGTCAGTCTTGGGGACCTGTGCCCAAGCCAATCAACCCTGCTGAGCCACCGCTCCCCATTGATCCCACTGGCATCACAGGACCCGTGAATGGGGGAAACAGTAGTGGAGGCTGCAGTGCAGGGGTCTACCCAGAGCCTGAGACCTGGCTAAAGTTTGCTTATCAGTGGGAGCTATTAGACAGAAATGTTTTGGAACGTTATGATGTCCCCAAGCAAACCCTGGCACAGCTGTTCTGTGGCTCTGAGCATCCTGGGCACCCAGTCCCTGCCACCTCTGCCCTCATGCGCCCACAGTCACTCCTCTTTCAGAAGACTGCTGTCTTACTCTTTGTGCCCCCGGTGCAAAGCACTTTAACTTTGACATGACTATATCACTTCCCAACACGACCTATGGGAAAGGCCCAGACTGCGGCAGCATGTGGGCCCTCCACCCTGTGTCTCCCTTTCCCATATTTCCCGTGTTTCAGTAAAGGTCCCAAACAGAAACAAGACAGCATCAACTCCTCATGTATTTTATTCAGTTTTCTATTCTCTTGCCGTATAATGTTCTGCTCGGGTATTTGTAAAGATTATAGCATTAAGGTATTCCTTCAGGTTGACATTCTACCTAAAAGTGGTTAGAAACTAAAAAAGCGTTTTGTTTTCAAAATTTGGTAATTTTTAAAAATTTTTCTGACTATGTATTCTCTGTGTCAAAACAAAAATTCAAACAGCAAAGAAAGGAGAGAAAATAACCTGCAATCCTTCTGCCCTAAAATTTTTTTCTGTACCTACATTTTGTTCTTTACAAAAAAGCTTGACTCCTACCATAAACGTTCTTGTATAAGCTGCTTCTTTTCCCCATCATGTACTGCAAGTTTGTTGGGAATCTTTTCAGGTCAGTAATAATAATCTACGTTATCGTTTTTAGTGGCTGCATAGTATTCCGCAGTATGACTGTGTCATAATTTATATCACTACTCCCCAGTTGATTGACAGTCAGGCACTAGCAGCTTTGCTTCCTATGAACAGTGGAAGAATCAAAGGCCAGTCTTTTTGAGGTACCTGTACACCAAGTCTTGGTGATAACTGAGTTTACGTGTGGTGATCTTCAACTGCAGCTCCTTTTACATTAATAATCCACTGATGAGGGTAATCAATTAGGGTTGGCATGAGCTCTATGAAAATACAAAGCATAAGGTGGGCTCTGGCCTTGCGTTCCATCAGAATTAGATGGATCACTGGGGGCCCTGTCAAACACCCCTCCTCACTGTCCAGCTGTGCCGCTAGGTCAGTCTGTAGACTTAGAGGAAAGACTTCTCCCCTCTTCCTCTAAAGGCAAACCTGGATGCCTTTGCTTTCTCTCTGTTTTTGGGTTTTCCATTCATGAACATCACAAACATAGACAGTCCATTTTTCCTTCCATTTTTGAGTCCAGACTTTCAAAGTCATTAATGTCAGGTCCTCTTGGTTCTCCTTTCCTGCCATCTTCCAGGCCCCCTGCTTGCTGGAACATGTGTCTTGAGACATCCATTCTTGGTTTTGCTTGGAGATGTCCAACAGGTTGCAAAGAACCCCTTGTCCTTTCCTAAATCCTGCATGAATAGCCACAAACCATTCTCTCTATCTTCAGAGATATGCCTTTATGACAAGTGCTGTGTGAGTTGCATTCTTGTAAAACACACAAGAAGAGAGGAATCAGGCGAACCACAGACACTTCAGACTTAATGGGTGTGTAAATGAATATTAATAGTTTTGCTCTGTACAGCGGGGTCCAGTGCAAGGTCAAATTGAGTTCATGTACAGTGGACTCAAAGTGGGCCCCTGCTATTTTGTAGGGAGTAACCAAAATAGATGGCTGCTTTGTAATAAGCATAGATGTCGATGTGTGAACTTACAATGATTAATGCCTTCTCGTTGATTTTCATTTCTCATTAGGAAAACTTAGCAAGACTCCAGAGGGCCTTTGCAAGGAAGTGGGAGTTCATCTTTATGCAAGCAGAAGCACAAGTAAAGTAGGTGAACTTAATAGAGATCCTTACAAAGAGAAAAAGTCTCTCTGGAATTTGGAGGTGGTATGAAAATGGGATTGGCAATGTAGGATTTCCCTCTATGGCTGGCCACCTGCGGTTAGTCACTCTAATCTCTCCTGAGAGCAACTGAGCAGAAATTAAGGTCAGGATGGTTATGTTTCGTCTTCGTAACCAGTGGCACTCTAAAATAATTTCAGAAGTGTGTGCTCCAGCAGGCAACTGAGTTCCTCCCATATGTAGAACTCTGGTTATAAGAAAATGTATCTAATCCCCAAAGAGATTTTCAATTATTCTTCTGTGCACAGAGGCTGAAAAACATCAGACTCACTTTTCCTATAGGTCTGGAGATTTCGTCTTCGTAGGAAGTCATGTTGGAGTTTTAGGGAGGCCAACAAGTAACCCCTCCCCCAACTCCCCCCCAGGAGAGGGGTTCTGAACCAGTCAAAAATAAGGCACAGAAGTCAGACATTTAGAGTCCAAAATGTCAGATTATTACTGATTAACTGATAAAAACTAGATTATAGAGGGGCTGGCCCCGTGGCCGAGTGGTTACGTTTGCGCGCTCCGCTGCAGGCGGCCCAGTGTTTCGTCGGTTCGAATCCTGGGCGCGGACATGGCACTGCTCGTCAGCCCACGCTGAGGCAGCGTCCCACATGCCACAACTAGAGGAACCCACAACGAAGAATACACAACTATGTACCGGGGGGCTTTGGGGAGAAAAAGGAAAAAATAAAATCTTAAAAAAAAAAAAAAAAACTAGATTATAGGGCATGACTTTGGATCTGTGGCACAGATCTTTACCGTGGGATTAAACTCGCCCATCCTGAGCAGAGCTGGATATCTGCAGCCCCAGACCCCCAACGAGGGCGGAGTTGACCAACGAGGGCGGAGTTGACCCTATAAGCCTATGCGTGCAGAGAGCAGACGTCCTGCAAAGAGGCTGGCCCGGATGGGCCCAGAAAGGACCGACCTTAACTTTCTCAATTTTTTCATCAAATCTGCCCATTAGTTAAGTCACTCTTGCTCCTCTGGAGGATAAGAGATGAAAGGAAGAGAAAAGTTGGAGTGTTTTTCCCATATTTTTCCATCCCAGGCAGTATAATGGAGATTCCTTCGTCTCTAAGGAAACATGAGAAGTGGGCAATAAATGTCTCCCAGCCCCCAAATGTGATTGCCAACCAGATCCTTTTAATTCTGGGAAGTGGAATTGCTCAGGTCGGGTTCTTTCTTGTTCTTTTCAGCTATGGTCTCTGGTTTAGTCAAGAGGGTTAACAGAAGAAACAGGACAGAGGAGGCGATGGGAAAGGGATGCTGAGCTGGAGGAAGGCGTATACCTTTTCTCTGGGCACCACTTGCCCCTGAGCAGACCCCGTAGGTCTTCAAGGGGTGTCCCCTTTGCAATCTCTGGGCAGAGTGGCAGCCCGTCGCCTGGGGCTGGGTCTCGGCCATGTGGTTGAGCATTGATCAGAGGTGTGGTGTGGTCGGCAATGGCCTGAGGTCACTGGGTCCAGTGGTTTGCAAGTTGCCTTTGCTCTCACCCTCCCTCTGCAGTCTGCTTTCCACCAGCCATGATTCCAGCCACCCACTGACCACCCCGGTGCTCCCAGCAGCCCCCAGGGGAGGTGGGCACCAGGTGCTGAGCTGCACCAGGAGGAGCCCTGGCCCCTGAGGGAAGGAGAAAGTGGGAGGATGGATGAGTGGGTGAGAAGGAGGCAGAATGGAGCCCGTGTACTCAGAAGCCAAAGCAGAGAGGAGCACTAATTAGTCCTTTCAGGATCACACAACATCTCATGTTTTAAAAGGAGGGAAATTATCGCTTTGTACATATATGGTATTTCTCGGTTAACTTTTTTGATTTACTCTGTGATTACATTATAATTTTGGGCTGTTTAAGTACACAGTAATTATCACAAAAATCATGGGGTCATTGTGGGTTTATTTCAGTCCAGTAAACTAAGGCGCTCCCAAGAGAGCCAAGAACCAGGGGTTACACGGCAAGTAATCTGAGTTACTTTTTACTTAGAGAGATAATATGAAGTAATACAGGCTTTTTTTTTTTAAGCCTCTTATCTATGCTCCTGATCAGAACAGAAAAAATCTGTGTTTGTCACCTGTAGTTTTCCTCTTCCTATTTGTGCCTCCCTCAGCTGAGGCCAGTGATATTTGCCTTCTGGGTGTTTTCACATGCTAGGGCTATTACTCTGCTTTTAGAAAGCCAGATGGTTTAAGTGACTTTTAAAACACGTAATCGCAGGATTTTGGAGACATTTCTACTCACTCTGAATCTAAAGTAAACTTTCAAATTTGAAGATGAAACCCTGCACGCCTGTGGTTATATTCTTTCCTATAATTTGACTATGCAGTGTCTACTTTGATGGGGGGTATGTCAGTGGATAATTCAGTTCTTAATCATCTAGATCTTCATTATTCAAATGGATAGTTGCATTCTTCTTCTCTCCTTAAGTCCACCATGTTCATTACATATAGTCAATAATTTGCAATGTAGCTTAAAACAACTTCTTTTACCGTATGTGGACTTTTTGAGGTTTCCTTGAGGGAATTGTCCACCCATATTTTACATCTCTGCAGAGATCAGGGACCACACAGGTGCCAATAGCCCTGTGTGTGCTAAGCTCCTAGAAACGGGAGCAGAGAGCTGGCACACGGGTCAGGAGGAAAAACAGAACACAAAAGCCTCTGAGTTCCTTTCTTTACTCTTTCAGAATTGATCGGAAAAAGGACAAGACAGAAAGGAAAATTCTGGATAGCCAAGAACGGGCTTTTTGGGATGTCCACAGGCCAGTGGTGAGAAAGCTCTCCTTGGTTCTCTGGGTTTTTTTATTTTGCCGTTTTCTTTGCTTGAAAGAAAAGACTGTCTTTAGCCACTAGGTGTCTCATTCTTAAGAAAATTGGTTTTGTCATTCACTCATATAATCTCAGTAGATTTTCCAAAACCTATGTCAGTTTCATCTTTCAAAAATTATCCATCCATGAAAATATGGAATTGGAAATGGGAGAACCATGGGAATTCCCAGAAGTTTACATTCCTCAAATTCCTCTCCATTTCTACTGTTGTTCAACTCTAAATCTTAGAATATTCTCTTTCAAATGTGGCCGATTCTCATTATTCATGGTAGTTATGTTCTACAAAGGTGCCACAAACACTGAATTAGTGAATGCTGAACCATTATCCTGGGAGAAATACAGGGTCATCTTCCTGTGAGCCCTTGGTCATGATATTTTCATTAACTGATCAATACATAACCTTGTTTAAAGTGTGTTTCTATTCAAAGACACTGTATTTAGTATATATTGTTGATTCACTGACATTGAACTCACAGCCAGTAGCACTATGGTTCATGCCTAAATGACGCTCACCTGCCACACCTATTTTCTCCATAGGGAACATCTCAGCCTTCTTGCACTTCGGAACTAGCCCGCACTTTAGCACTATGCTCAGAGGCCATTATAAACAGCAAAATCACCAACAGAAAAACACAAAAATGTTGAAAACACGGCACTAAATAGACCGTGAAAAGGCCACGTGTTTAAGTATGAGATGAAACAAGAAGGCAGAGCACCGCTTTGTTCAACCTCAGCTGGGAATATGCACATCGCGCAACTCAAAATTTTTGCTGCTCTGTGCATGTCCGTGAATGCACTCCAAGTATTGATTCTGGGGGTTATAAATAAACTTTAGCAAGGAGGCGAATTCACAAATACAAAATCTGCGAATAATGAGGTTTGACTGTATTTCTAATTTTATATTATTAAAGCAAATCTTGCATTTCCCCCATGAAGTGAAACTAAAATGAATGAACTATTTCAGCCTTCCTAAAAACTAATTAAAAAGAAAACCGGGGCTGGCTTGGTGGCAGGGTGGTTAAGTTCACATGCTCTGCTTCAGGGGTCCAGGGTTCATAGGTTCAGATCCTGGGTGTGGACCTAGCACTGCTTGTCAAGCCATGCTGTGGCAGCATTCCACATAAAATAGAGGAAGATTGGCACAGGTGTTAGCTCAGAGACAATCTTCCCCCCCCCCCCAAAATAATTCCCCCTCCTGATGTTGGAGTGTTTTTAGGTGATTAGGTGTGTGAAATAACAGAGGCTGTGGCTAAAGTGACCTTGCCACTTTGAACAATGTTTGCTCTTATAAACTGTACACTGTACCCTCTACTTATCATCCTTAGATGGTATGGGGTAAGCCTTTATATTTCATATGAGAACTCTGTGGAGGAACCCGTATTGAAGATGAAACATTTTTGTAAAAAGAAATTGTAAATAGCAAAATGGAGATAACCATGCATTATCTGTAATGAGAAAGATAAAGATTGGTACTGATGGTGTCACTTGGACCAAATGGGAAGCTGTGATTTTCACTTAGTAATTCATATGATGATTTTTTTTTTCTCAGCCAGGCTGTGTGAACACAACAGAAATGGATATCAGAAAATGTCGACGATTGAAGAATCCACAAAAGGTTAAAAAGGTTTGCTAGTTTAGCCGAATTCAAGAATCTTGATGCAAATAGCCCTTCTGTTTCTGGTACTATTCAAGCAATAATTTGGTGTTTGAGATTCTACCCCATTTTGTCCTTTGAAACCACTTCATTCTATAAATAATTGTGGAGTGGCGGGTGTGTGCTTGGTCCTGTTCTTGCTGCTGTGGGACAGTGGCTGATCCTCACAGAGCCTACAGCCTGGTGGGGATGAAACAAGCCAGCAGGCAGGAGAACCTGGGGGCTGCATCTGGGAAGCACAGGATGGTTCAGCAGTGCCAAGAGGGGGCGCCAGACTGGGGGCTTCCCAACCAGGCTCAAGAGTGCTGAGGTCTGAAGGGTAAGCAGTAGTTGCTCTGGGGAGGCAGCAGAGAGGAAAGGGAACTGAAGGAACGAAAAGCAGGGAAATCCCACAGGTGAAGGCGAGCTGGGTGCTTGGAAACAGTGAAAGCCTTTTAGCACAGCCAGGTCATCCAGGCTCAAATCACCACCTTGCCCAACTGGGAATGAGCCAGCGATCATTTACGTTTTCACTAGACTAGAAGGCGCAGTGGCCATGGCATACTCAAGGGCACCACGCTCAGACTGCCCCACAATCAGTGCATCCCACCCTCACAATGGCACCGAGGACCGTATTGTAGGAGAACATGTCTGTCCTCCATAATATTAATTTCAAAAAGTTAGAAATGTGTCCCAAACATCCCTCTTTCCTGTAATGACCAATCCTTTCATCCTCTCTCTCTCATATATGGATGTGAGACATGACATCTATCAACTTCTTGAATCTACTCATGTGTTTTGTTTTTCACCGAGATAACAATGCCCACAGTATTATACTTTATAATGTTAGTCTTAAAATGTCCTCATTTAATCTTTAAGGCCTCCTAATTCTAATATTCTAGAATTTTGTGGAATCCACGTCTACTCTACCTGAGGTCTTCTTGATTTGATAGATTTCAGCTCTACATTGCATACCCTTCAGTGTTTTGCTTCTTTGCCAAAGCAAAGATTGTCTTTAATCTGTCTCTAACACAGGCGACAGCTTAAAAAGTAGCCATAGCTGGGGCTGGCCCCGTGGCGTAATGGTTGAGTTCATGTGCTCCACTTCAGCAGCCCAGGGTTCACGGGTTCAGATCCCAGGCACAGACCTATGCACCACTCATCCAGCCATGCCGTGGCAGCATCCCACATATAAAATAGAAGAAGATTGCCACAGATTTTAGTTCAGTGACAATCTTCTTCAAGCGAAATGAGGAAGATTGGAAACAGATGTTAGCTCAGGGCCAATCTTCCTCACCAAAAAAAAAGGGAGCCATAGCTACTATCTCTGCAGCTAGCCTACGTACCATATTTGGAGAAACGCTAATATATAAGATTATTTCAGCTCAAGAAAAGGAAGGATTCTCCAACAGTGGTAACCCAAAGATGGATGAGCTGCCTCAAGAGGCAGTGTTCTCATGGTTGAAGAAATTCAAGCAGAGGCTGAAACACATTGTCAGGTTGTCATAGAGGGGATTGGAAGCATTGGATGAGTGCTTGAACTAGCTGAGCCCTAGGGCCCCCTTCAACTCCTAGGGTGCATGATTCGATATTCTTGCTTCTTCTCCAGTCAGTATACGGAGTGACTGAAGAGTCCCAGTCGCAGAGCCCCGTGCACATCCCCAGCCAGCCAATCAGGAAAACTACAAAAGAGGACATCCGGAAACAGGTGAATGAAGCGACTCCTGCACTCCCAGGAGGCGACGTGGCCAGTTTGAAAACCTTTGAGTGTTTACCTCTGAAGTCTGAGTGAGCTTTGAGTTCCTGGAAACCACAGTGGAACCCAGCTGTGGGTGGCTTGAACCTCTGAGTGCTGTGTGTGAACAACCCACAGAAGCTTGAGAGGAAAAATTCTCTACCAGGTCCCTCCAGCCAGTTATTAGAGAAGGACGTAAATGGGTTTTCCAGTGGACAGGGTGACTGCTGTAGTGGGGTTTCCCACAGAAGGCTGGAGGAGGGAGGCACTCATGCCAACAGCTTCTTAAAACTGTAATGTGCTTCCAGAGTAAGCCAGCTCAGGGCCATCGGCTTTATTGTTGTGATTCAAAGGAAAGTTTAAGAATAAAGAAAGCCCCACTCCCAATGGCATTTTGGCATTATTTGGTTCAATGTTATCTTCCTTCATGATGGAGAGTTAACTTGTCAACCAGGTCCGCAGGCAATGGCCAATGATATTCCTCCCTTCTGGGGTTCATTGGTAATGAAGAAACTTTAGGGTCTACTCTTTACATTGTGCTTTACTGGCTTCTGGGAGAGGAACCCAAAAGAGTAAACCGTTAGGTGCCTGCCCTTGACAAGTTTATTATTAGGTGGGGAAGAGGAAACAGATGTATGTAAAATAACTGTTTGATGATTCTAGTCACGTACGCCCAGCAGTTGGGTGTGATGGAGGTGTGAAAGGTGTGTAGAGGAAGGTCACTGGAGATTAGTCAAACTGGATATTTATGGTGTGTGTATTACCTGTCCATGCCGTTGCTGAGCTTTGTAGAATGTGTACTATCTTTAAGTTTGCAACTAGTTTTGGGAATCAAGACTTCATCTCTCACACAGTACAGGAGACTAGGTGACATACGCTAAATTGCAGAGTATGATTCTTAAGTGGGGTAGGGATTTCCAAAAGGCAAAATGGTTGCTGGGGTGCAAAGCTGGAGGGCCGGAGAAGTCTGTCCAGAGGAGGCGTTTGGATCTTAGTGGAAATATAGGATTTGGGTTCCTGGGGTGAAGGGGAAAACTATTCTAGTGAATCTTAACACTTCTCTTCTGTTTTTCCCCAGATAACATTTTTGAATGCACAGATTGACAGACATTGTTTAAAAATGTCCAAAGTGGCTGAAAGGTATGTTTCCCCTCAATAATGTTACTGATTTTTCCTAACTTAAGGAAAGAGAAATGTTCTGGGGTTATGGCTAACAAGTATGTACCACGCCAGGAGGCAGACCATAGTCATTTCTTAAACTGATGGGTGAAAAAACCACAGGCCCCATGTGAGTACGACTAAGATAGCAGACATCCCCTGAGTGATGTCAAGAAATATTCTGTTGCTAAAGCTTTTCAGGGGGTGGCCAAGGGACCTTGTCAATCAGGGAAGAATGTCCTTAAAAGCTACATAGTGCACTTTTGCCTTCAGTGTCTTGATTAATTCAGATGGAATTGCTCCCTTCTCAGCTATAAAATGCCCAGATTCACTTTATAGGGGGAAAGAAATTATGTGTGCCCTTTGAGGTGCAAGCCGCATGAGCAGGAGAGGACTGGGCCATCAGGAGGCGTTCCGCCTCCACACACCATCAAGCACTGAACTGCATTGAATCAACTGTAAAGAAAATATTTGGCACCTCCAGCCTGGCTTCCGCAGGAGCATTTGTGCTACAATCTGCACCAGTGGCTGGTTCCACTCCGTTAACTCGTGGGAGATTCCATTTTGTCAACTAAATGGTCTGTTTTTGAACTCTCAGTGAAGAGAGGAGACCACCTGGGGAATCTGGATGGAATAAATCTGATCAGGCAGCCCCAACCTGAATGTTCACTCATCCATATGCTACAGTTAAAGCGATGACCAATATCTGAAGGATCAAGAGCTTAAGTTGGGTCTTAGTATTTATTGGATATCAGAGTAAAGTGAGTCCTTTAAGCCCAGCTCACACAGGGGGCTGGCTGTGTGTTCGACCTGTAAGCCTTTCTCTGCTAGCCCCTGGGTTGATCCACATCTTCCTTCTAGGTAAATAACAAATTGAAGCTAAGAAAACTCCACTCCCAAACCCAAAATCTGAATTAATGCTCTGCCTTCAGGGCGCCATAGGCTTCCCTGGATTTGGGCTCATGTCTCTCATAGCATCTCCAATCTATCCCAAGACTTCTCAGTAATGTCACTATTGATATCCTGGGCCAAATACTTCTTTGCTGCAGGAGGCTACTCTGTGTATTATAGGATATTTAGCAGCATCCCTGACCTCTACCCAAAATCCTACCTCATCATTGTCTCCAGGCATTGCCAGATGTTCCCTGGGTGGGACAAAATCGACCCCAGTGAGAATCACTGGTGTTCGTATCTTCCCTAACACAAACGCTTCAGGAGGCTGCCATGGCTGGAGCTCGCCGTACACTTAGACACCAATTGTTCTGCAGTCCCAGTTTCAGCCAGCTCTGTAGGAGCCACCTCACCCCACTGTCATGATGTGGGACTTCTGGAGTGCCAGGCTCTAAAACTGCTTTTTAGATCTCACTGTGGTTGCCTTTGTCCCAGAAGAGTGCCTGTGAGTGAAACAGCTGGGATGACCTTGACGCCATCGGTGCCATAGCCCATGAGGAACTACAAGCTTCTTTCACTGTGAAAAAGGGACAGGATCAGCTGTTCTGGTATATTGTGAGGGTCAGCACTAGCAATGTCTGGCCTTCAAAGGGTACTTTAGAGTTTGCAGTCCCAGGAGAGCACATGTGTGGGAGCATCTGGTTGCTCAGGTCCCGTGGTTTTGAGCATGATAACCACATGGAGGAGAGGGATTGAGCATGGAGATTCCCAAACCCTAACACTAGGGACAGCCAGCCCTGGTGGTTCAGTGGCTGAGATTCAGCACTCTCACCGCTGGGGCCCAGGTTTCTTTCCTGATCGGAGAACCACACCACCCATCTGTCAGTTGTCATACTGTGAAGGCTGCGTGTTGCTGTGAGGCTGAAAGCTATGCCACCGGTATTTCAAATACCAGCAGGGTCACCCGTGGTGGACAGCTTTCAGTGGAGCTTCCAGACTAAGGCAGACTAGGAAGAAGGACCTGGCCACCCACTTCCAAAAAAATTGGCCGTGAAAACCCCATGAATAGCAGAGGAGCACTGTCTGATATAGTGCCGGAAGGTGAGAGGATAGCTCAAATAGACCGGGCAGGGTTCCGCTCTGTTGCCCACAGGGTCGCTAGGAGTCAGAATCCACTTGACAGCACCAAGGACAACAGCGCTAGGGATTCAGATGGGTTCCCGGTAGGTCGAGCAATCTGTATTTTGAATAACCTGACCAGGTCTCTGAGGATCTGGTGAAGCCATTGCCCACCACTCAGAGTGACCTGAGAACTCACGTCAGATGGGACCCCAGCTTTGTCTTATCTTTGGGATGTAGGGAAAGACGCTGAACCTGTCAGCATGAGGGAGGCTGACACCCACTGGGCAGGTGTGCTGAGGCAGGAAGGGAGAGAGCTGAGGTGGGGGAGGGGAGCCTGGCAGCGCCCGTTGTTTGTTTGTTTACGTGCTGTCAGGGAGGGGCCCTGCCTGGTGCCCTCTAATTTTGCTTGAGAGGCTGCTCACACTAAAAGATTATTCCAACCAGCCACTCCTCACTCCCCAGTTTGAAGCTTTCGTGAGTATCCACCCAGCAGAGACTGGATTTTATTCCCAGCAGCCATAACTGGCAACTTTTCAATGTGACACAAGGGTTTTTCATTTGAGCCACAAGGAAACTCCCAGACAGAAAGGAGGAGGGAGAGGAGCCGGATGTTAGCAGGAGATAAAGCAGCCTGGAGCCTTGGTCTGTCAGCGGCTCTTCAGGGGTGGGGACAGAGAGGTAGTGCTGGCAGCTGGCCTTGGCTGTGACTGCTCCACTTGCCAGAGGTGAAAGCTGAGCTATCTCAGGTGGGTGCACTCATCCCCATGCTGGATCTGTTTGCCCTCTGCCTGGTTCAGGTGATCAGTGGTAATTAGCCAGAAGCCATCAGACAAAGGGCCCCATCCCCCTGAGAACAGGTGCACAGCATTTTCCAGTAAATTCCCTGAGAAATGATGCTGGGGAGATGCAAGAGGGCCAGTGATCCTGAAGGTGCAGTTCCGAAAGGGCAAGAGTTAGGGTTGGGTCCCAGGGCGCAGCCAGGCCCAGTTGGGAAGGAATAAAGAAACTCTGTGAACTAAAGGGGCAGAACAGAACAATTTAGGGGCTGGGTGTGGAGCCAGCTGTCGGGGTTTGGATCCTGCCTCTGCCTTTCTCTGACGGTGTGATCTTGGGCAAGTCGCTTCACCTCTCTGTGCCTCTGTTCTACATCTTTAAAGGGGAGAGAGCAGTCGTGCTTAATTTATAGAGTTAATGAGTTAATCCATGGCAAGAGCTTGGTCCAGTCCTGGGCTCTTATACATATGCAATGCATGTGGATGATTATTATTTTCTAGTGATGCTTAACAGTGCTTTGGAAAGGAGTGGAATTCAAATGCATGAGATAGAATGAACTGAGTGTATGATGCTCAGAGAAACAAACACAGGGGAGGCCCAGGAGTAAGGCTGACCCTGCAAATAGCAGGGTCTCCTGCACAGAGAGCCCTGCAGGCTGCCTAAGGCTGGGCCTGAGTCCATAATCTCTGTGTCCCCTTGGCTGCTTCCTATGGCCCCACTGATCTGGCGCCCTTGGGGAAGGCAGGGTCGTACACAGAGAAGTTGGTTCTTTGGCACAAATTTTTCTCAGGTCATCCTGGTTTCAAATATTCTGTTCCATTGTCCCATGAGTGGTTAAATGTCTCTGAAATGCCAACATTATGGCAACCAACCTATTTCCTAGGCTGCTTTTCATACCTCAAAGCAGTACAAAAACCTGTCTGAAAGATGTTACCCAATTTTTGCTTTAGAAAGTATGGTCTCTGCACACACAAATGAATTTTCCAGATAAATAAGGTTTAACACTTTAAGCTTTCTATTTGAACTATTTTAAATTAGACTCTTTCTTAAATATGGTTCATGCACTTGCCTTCTTAAAGGATGCTACATTTCTCTTAGTTTTTCTGGATGGCTTGGGGTCAGTGTTCTTATACTGTGCTTTAAAACTCCGTCAGTGAGCAGGGTTTTATTAATTGACGGAAACTGCTTCCCTTTCTGTAAACAGCCCCAGGCCATTATGTTCTTTGAGTCTCTGTTTCTGCTCTTTAGTTGTTGGTTTGTTTTCTTGTTCCTGGTTGACATACTTGTCTTCAGAAGCCTGTCTGCCTCTCGAACCAACCCCCATTTCCAATCTGCAGCAGACCAGGCATATCAGTTAGCTATTGCTGAGTAACAAACAACCCCACAACTCAGTGGCTTCACACAATGGGCATTTACTGCTCACATGTCTCTGTGCCAGCTGGCTCTGGGGCTCGCCCACGTGTCTGTGTGCACTGTGATTGCTGTAGGCAGCTCTCTGATCTTGGTTGGGCTCTCTCCTATGTTTGGTTTCAGCTGGTTAAGGTGACCTCCACTGGGACAGCTGGAGTCTCCTTCACGTGGTCTTTCATCCTCTAGCAGGCTGGTTTGACCTTGTTCACATGGGGATAACAGGATTCCAAGAGAGAGACAACAAAAGCATGCCAAGCCCCCTCGAGCTTGGAACTGGCGCTCTGTCACTTCTGTTGCATTTTACTGGCTAAAGCAAGTCACAAGCCTAGACCAGATTCAAGGGCTGGAGAAATAGACTTTATATTTTTCGTTGATCTACCAGACCAGGAAATCAAATAACCAAGTTCTTTAGCTGTGATCCTAAAGCAAGAGTAGAGAGTCTTCATGAGGTGCGCTCTTCCAATAACAGACAACGAGCCCAGCGGTTTAGAGTTTTTGTTGTAGACTCTGCTCAGAGGCCCTTTTGGTCCCTTATTTCACCCACATTCTCTAATAGTTGAAGTTGACAAATATATGAGATCTTCCTCTTCTTTGTGACGCAAGTCTTCTGTCACTTGACAAACCAACTTTGAGCATGCAAAAAATCCATCCATTTTAGTTAAAATTGTCTGGAAAATCTCTGTGTTTTGCTGGGTTTCCCCAGATACCTCTCCCCACCCTTAGTGGCAGTGAGCAGGACACTGCAGGTATGACTCACAGAGACGTGGAGTCGTGTCATTTTATGT